GGTTCTAGGTCGTCCACACGCGCGGGATCGATTCAGGGTCGTCCACTCGCGGGCCACGCGGATCGCCAGTGTGGCCTCCAGCGTGGCACCGATGTCAATGCACCTTGCCACGCAACGCGCTCCGATTTGTCGAGGCTGCTGACTGGGTAGTCCTACGTGGCTGAACTTTCTCTATTTGTACTTTGACCCCCTATTTTTAATTTTTCTTTTAAAAATACTCTCATAACCCAAATTTTTTACCATTTTTTCCCAAAATTATTTTCAATATCATCTCTAATTCATTTTTTCTCAAAATTTCACTTAAATAAAAGTAAAATAAATTAATCAAATATTTTAAATTAAAAATTAAAGAGAAAAAAAATTATCTCGGGTCGTTTTTTCAGGCCTGGGTATTATAATTCGGAACTTAAAGTGAAAGATTATTAATATGCAAAGAAAAGACATAGTGACTCATGCAATTAAATAGTCACAACGTTGACATTTAGTTTTAGTTTTGATTAATGACAATACATGTTTTATTGTAAACAAATGTCTGAATGTCATCCATTTATCCCAACATTACCCCTATAACCCACTAAATTATCATAAAACAATTCTCTCACTCGCATTCATCCTATGACATTAAGGTGATCAATTAAAAAAAATTCTTTAACCATCTTACTCATCTCTCATCTACTTTCTCTCTTAACTACATAGAAATTAAATTCTCAGGTTATTCATAAGCCAAAAGCTTTAAAGTATGGAGGAAAGGCACGAATAAAGAATTTTATGCTTTTTTTGTCAACTGCATTTGGTCATTAGTTATAAAACCTCCTTTGCAACTTAATTAGAAGCAGATGAGTACTTAAAATTAAGAGCACCTTGTGGCAATACTAATCATTATAAAGTATGTTTTATAGATAAAGGTTTTAACCAGAAGGAAGAAATAGATTATAGGGATATTTTTAATCTTGAAATACACCACCATTCAACTTTGTATCTATCTTATTGCCTCATTTCCATGCAATATTTCGTATTTAGATGTCTCGAATGCTTTTCTTTATGTGGATATTGATCAAGATGTGTACATAGAACAACCCACAGGGTTTATTAACAAAGAATTTCGTAATCATGTATAAGCTCCATAAAGCCTTTTGGCCTTAAGCAAGCCCCACATCTTGGTTTAATTGTCTAAGTTGTTTTTTACAACACAATGAATTTTGCTCTATCAAAAGATATTGTTCTTTGTTCAATCTAAACATGTACTATTAATCTATTTCTTTTTTTATTAATATTATTATTGTAATAAGAAATTCTACAACAACCATTCAATAGACTATAACATAATTTTAGCCAGAATTTATTGTTAAACATTTAAGGACACTTCATTATTTCATTGGGAAGGAAATTTTATACGATAATAGTAAACTTATTCTTACTCAATGCAAATATCTTCCTAACTTACTTGCTAAAGTGAATATGAGTGATTCTAAACTTGGTGGTTCCATTTTTTCTAGCACTGAATAATACAGATAAATGATTGGTGCCCTATAATACGTCACTCTTACTAGGTGCGATCTTACTTTTGTTGTCAACAAATTGTGGCAATTTATGGATAGTCCCTCAAATTATCATTGGGTTACAATTAAGAGACTTTTACGGCATGTAAAATAAACTTTATTCCTTAGTTTCAAGTTTGTTCCTTCACCAATCACTTTGTAGTGCTTCTCTGACATTGATTGGGGTGGTTGCCTAGATAATCCCCACTTCACAAATGGTTTTGTTGTTTACCTTGTTCTAATCTTATTTCTTAGTAAATAAAAAAACAATCTACTACTGCACGTTCTTCCACTGAAAGTAAGTATAAGACAATTACCAATGCAATGACTAAATTTCATCGGTTGAGATCATTATTTATAAACCTTAAAATCTTTATTTAATCATCAATAATAATTTGGTTGTTTTAGTTAAAATAATTTAACAAAAATGTAAGTAATAGGGGGAAGTTGCAAAATACAAAAACAAGGTCAGAATAAGAAAAAAACAAATGGTAAGGAAAAAAAAAAAGAGAAGAAAAGATTTCAACAATGTTATCATGTCTATAGATGTGTTAAGTGGGTGGTTTTAAGAGATTTAGTAAAGATATGATAGTTTTACAGTAGTGTGTGTGTGTGTGTGTGTGTGTGTGTGTGTGTATATATATAGATTTGTGTTTGAGTTAAATAAAAGGAAAGTGGCCAAGTTTAATTTACATGCTTAAAATATATGCAAATTGGGTTAGTCAAGAGACCAAGAAACATTTGTAATTGCAACATGTAATATAATAATGAAATTATTAAAAGGATTTTAGAAAAATATAGTTGGAGTAGTATATATTTCACAAGTATATAATCACTTATCACATAAGAACATAAAATTATTCTTTATTTTAAAAGCATTATTTTCAATCTTGACAACTTAACATACATGGAGAATGTTTAGACTGAATTTCTCTTTCGTGGTCAAGGCGTTTAAATTAATTATTGACTAAAAAATTACAAAGCAAAGGTATAAACCCCAAAAGAGAAAAAGTTTCATCTTCATATTCTTAAAAATATATTTCTATAAGTAAAAATTGGAGGCTGCTTACGCCAGCCCCTAATTTAAAAAAGTAAAAAGAAAAAGTAGTGAGACCCAGAAATTATATAATAACTATATAATTTTTAAATTTTTATTTATATAGCACGATGCTATATATTTGATAGTAGTAAATGTAATTGAAATTTTT